ATAAATACTATTTTTGGTTTAAATTTTTCTAATTCTCTTTTGGGTAGCATTTTTATTGTTTTCAGCTTCAGTACATGTCTTTTTTTTTTCTTTTTTTTCTTTTTTTAATTGGTAGTGTGTCATATGCAATTGGGTTATTGGTGTATCATAGAGGAATTCATCATGCAATGAGATTATGGTGTATGAAGTTTTAGATTTGTCTTGTTGTGTATATGATTGATATCTTAGTTGTGCTATGAACTCTTTATCTTACAAGCACATGTTGATGTTTGGTAGTGGTAGTTTTCCCCTACATGTTTCATATGTTGTGAGACATCAAATTCTAAATTAATTAAATGCATATGTATTATTTTTTGTTGTAGCTACTAATTTATTTTTTAATTCAAGTAATAAGAGCAATAAAGTGGGAAAATTATGTTGTGCAATGTGGACACGGTTCCAAAACTGTTCATAATTATGAATATATAGTTCAAAAATTATGAACATATAGTTCTATAATTATGAACATAGAGTTGTGAACATAATTATGAACATATAGTTCTGTAATTATGAATATAGAGATTCAATAATTGTGAATGAAGTTAAAAAAATTATGAATATATAGCTTTATAATTATGAACATATAGTTTAGTAATTATGAACATAGAGTTCTGTAATTTTGAATATAGAGTTTAATAATTATGAATATGAAGTTCAAAAATTATAAATATATAACTTTATAATTATGAACATATAGTTCAGTAATTATGAACATATAGTTCAGTAATTATGAACATAGAATTGTGTCCACATTGCAAGGTGGACAGTTCCATAGTATAACGATTGAATACAGTGGCGTACATACTTTTCATCCACAATAATGAAATCATTGATTATTTTTTTTTTTTTTTGAATTTCCATTCGTTGTTGAGACAAATTGTTTTGAGAGTTTGTTAATGACAATTGGTGTGATGATGATAATAAATAATTCAAATTATAAGGTTACAATAGATATTATTAATTATAATAATATACTAAAAATTAACTTACAAATTTTTTTAAAAGTTTTCATGAATTGATAAAAACATAATTGAAATATTAAGTTTTGTTCTCAATAATCAAAAGAAGATTAATTAAACGAAAAAAAAACTGAACTTAAATTTATTTTTTTTTAATAAAAGAAAATCAAATGATTTTTAAAGTTCTTGATTTATAATCATTGAATGCTAATATGATATGTATTTAGTCGGGCTAATTATTTGACCAAAGTTTATGTTATGTTTAACAATTATGCTAACTCTAATTGGAATGAGGTTCGAACCTAAGACCTTTCTTATAGAAACTAATGAGTAAGTTAAGAATAATAAATAGTTAACGGAATATTCCGTTAATAAAGTTTATACTAACGGAATTTAAGTTTATTTACGGAAAGAAAATAATATAATAAAGGGTAAATAAGGAAAATCATTAAAAATACTAAAATTAAAATAATATGAACCATTCATTTTAAGAAACAATTAGTACCGACATTTTTTTTTATTCCAGTTAAGGGTCTAACATTATTGGCTCTTATTAGAATTGTAGATAAAGCAGTAGCTACAACAAAACAAAATAATATGCATTTAATTAATTTAGAAATAAATGTCTATAATTCCTTTATTTAAAAAAAAATATTCATTATAAAAAATTTAAAAAGAGATATAATTTCATTAGTTATATTATCTTTATTTTCTACAATTCAAACATTCATTACCTTCAAATTTATTAATTTATTATATTTACTACATTGTTCATTGTCTTCTTATCTTGTAATTTAATATCAAAGTTATAATACAAAATATGTTATATATATTTATTTACCAGGTATTTTATACAAATATAATAAATTTAATATTTTGTTCAATACTTTCAGATGATAACCTACGACACACATCTCACAACGCATGAAACATGTATAGAAAAAAGACCACTACCAAATATCAATAGGTGCTTGAAAGATAAAGAGTTAACAGTATAACTAAGATCTCATAATATACACAACAAGGCAAATCTAATTAAAGCTTCCTGCACCATAATCTCATTGCACGATATCCATCTATGCTACCACCAGTAACCCAATTGCACATGACACACTACCAATAAAAAAAGAGAGGACATGTACTGAAGATGAAGACAATGACAATGTTACCCAAAAGAGAATTAAGAAGAATTTAAACCAAAAGTTGTATTTATTTAGATTATCGTTTTTAGACTAAGTATTTAAACTAGCGTTATTACAAAGTTGCAAACATTTATTTTAGTGATAATAAAATCAATATTTCATATATTATCTTGCAGTTATATACTTTAAATTACCGATTTAAATAAACAAATTCAATATTTATTTACCTATGCATGAACATCTCTGATATAATATTGCATTGATATACTTTGAAATACTTATTTAAAAATAATCATTGAGCATTATTTCATTCGCGCAAAGCGCAAAAATTAGTTTTATATATAAGATCTAAAAATCAATCGAAATTAAACTTCTGTTAATTTTATAACGTTAATCTAAGTAAAATAAAATTGAAAAAATAAATGTTAATAAACAAGTTTTCTAAATAGAAAATGGAAAATGGAAAACAGAGAATGAAAATTAAAAAATTAGAAAATAGAAACAGTTTTCATTTTAGTGAAATTGGGACTAATTAATTTGATCAGCATGCATCTGGGCTCTACTACGATCGAGAAATATCTGGAACATGGTAGCGTCACCCCTGCCTGCCTAGATCTTTCTCACCATTTCTAATGCACCGCATCAGAACATTCAAGACAAACAAACAAAACCCATTTCCTTCCTCTATATATACTACAAGTGAAGAAGTCCTCTCCCCAAGGAATTCCTCATCAGTCATCATCACACTACACTTGCCACTTAATTACAACAACCCAAATCTGCAATATATATAATCTTCCCACCATTAACAGTCACTGCGATAGATTGAACTGATCGAGAATTGAAGAAAAATGAGAGTTTTATTCGGCTATTGCATTTTGCTGGCGGCGCTGGCATTCGTGTCGCAAGGATCTTTGCTTCCTCACATAATGGACCTTCCGGGCAGCAGCCTACTCTCATCGGACGGGTGGTTCTTGGACCCGTTCCGCGTGCTAGAAGAGACGCCACTGGCACTGGAACGGGACGAGAGCTTCGCGTTGGCGCCGGCCAAAGTAGACTGGAAGGAAACGCCGGAGGGGCACGTGATCGCGCTAGATGTGCCGGGGATTAAGAAGGAGGAGCTGAAGATCGAGGTGGAGGAGAACCGGGTGCTGCGGGTCAGCGGAGAGCGGAGGCGGGAGGAGCAGAAGAAAGGGGATCATTGGCACCGGGAGGAGAGGGTTCACGGCAAGTTCTGGCGGCGTTTCCGGCTTCCTGAGAACGCCGACCTCGACTCCGTCAAGGCCAGGCTGGAGAACGGCGTGCTCACCATTTCCTTTGCCAAATTGGCCCCCGACCGCGTTAAGGTCCCTAAGGTTGTGAGCATTGAAGGGGAGAAGCCAGCAGAGATAAACGAAGCAGCTAAACAAGAGCTTTAATAATGGACCGGATCGGGCTTAGCTTATTATTACACCAACTCCATCGAATAATTTCACTCAATGCTAAGCTATTTTCACTCCTATTAATGTAATACAATGTTGTACTGTATTGTTGTATATGTACTTTTGGGTGTTTGCCAAATCAAACAATGAGATAATTTGCAATAAATATTAGAGATAACCTATGTTCTCTCAATTAATATAATGGAATATAATGGTCCCTTATATTAATTGGTCCCTTTACAATGTAGCAAAATAGTTTATTAAATATTCAAGAGAATTTATGTTTTATCAATTTAAACATTTTTAAATTTTTTTGTTGACGATTCTTCGTCTCCAGTTATGGAGATAAATCATAGAGACGAAGAAACTCTTTGTATCCGGCTAGAAACGAAGAGACTCTTTCATTTTTTTGGTCGGGAAGGAAGACGTACAACTTCTTCGTCTCCGCGAGAGGCTTTTTTTTTTTTTTTTTTTAATTTTAAATTATTATTTTTAAATAATAATTTTTAAAAAATATTTTAAATTTTAGTGACCTGTTATTAGGGGTGAGCATCGGTCGATAACCGAATAACTAATGACATTTTATAAATTTTCATAACCCACCGGGACACTTTTAATCGACCGAAACTGATTATGTCGATTTTGGTTATTCGATTAACCGAATAATCGAGCATCTTACATAGGGATGGCAACGGGGCGAGGAGTATACTCCCCGTCCGCAACCCCGACCCTATTTCCGCCCTCATCCCCATCCCCGGCGGAGAATTGAAAAAATTCCCCGTTCTCGTCCCCGCGGGGAATTTGGCGAGGACGGAAAATCCCCATCCCGGTCAACTTATAGTCAATGTGTAAAAGTAATACAATTTTTAAAAGTGAAAAACAAAAAAAAATTGAAATTCATAGTCAATATATTCTAATAATCTAATTAATCCAATATATACACATTCAATATTCATAGTGCATGCAATATAATCAATCAATATTCAATATATTCCAAATTTCAATTCATCCAATATATACATACACTGTTTGAATAGTTGAATAGTATTGAGTGTGTTTTAAATTTTAATTTTAAAATCTAATAAACCTAATTAACTAAATAACTAATAATCTAATTCCTAATTCCTAATAATATATATAATATATATATATATATATATATATATATATATATATATATATATATATATATATATATATATATAATATATTTTTTATTTTCGGGGTCGGGGACGGGTATCCCCGTCCCCAGCGAGGAATTTAAAATATTTTCCGTCCCGATCCTCGAAATTTTTTCCGTCTCTGTCCCCCCGCTGAAGACGGGGCACATTGACATCTCTAATCTTACAAGTAATATTATATATATATATATATATATATATTTTTTTTTTAATTTTATTTATTTATTTATTTATTTTTTTGCCCTAGAAGGGTAGAGAATGAACTGGTTGCGGAACCGCGTCTCGGCCGCCGTCTTCACTCGTCCCAGTGCTTCCCTGAACTCAGTGAGTTGGGAGCTCCAACAATGCCGCGGAATCCGAGTGAAGGTCTTTAACAACAATCTAGAGAGAGCATTGGCGGTGATGCAAAGGATGATGCAGTCCAGCGGGATTGAACGGATCATAAAGCGCCAGCAGCCTCGCCATATCAAGAACTGCGAGAAGCGGGTACTCGCTAAGAAAGCCCTCCAGCGTAAGGTCCGCTCCCAAGAACTCGCTCGCAAGCTCAAATCCATCCTCGTCAAGAAAGTCAGGGGTCTGTAAGAGGAGTAAAAGAGATATCTATCTGCATTTGTGGTTACAGCCAATCTCCATTTTGTTGCGGTTTATTCAATGGCTTGAATTTTTATTATGCAGATCAGTGGTGAAACGCGAAGACTGCTATCATCAAATCTGTAATTTGTTATATCCTCACTGCTAAAAGTGCATGGGTGGATTTGAGCATTCTTACGGCAAATCGTGAATTTTGCAGGACATTTTATACTGATTTTCCTCTTGAATATTTCATAAATTTTTAGAGATGTGTTGTTTCTCTAGCTACTTTATGATTTGGTATTAGTATTTGAAGTTTGGGATATCTTTGTAGCAATTGCCTTTAATAAAAATTTAACAGTATATATATAACGGTTTTGTCAGTTTTTTGGTAATTCTCTTCACCCCTACATGTTACTAACCTGTGAAACTTCTAAATTAGACTAATTGCACAAATTTGATTAGTTTAAGGGTTCAATTGTTATTTTTTTTTAGGTTCTTTTTTTTGAAAGCTACTGACTCTATTACATTGTAGTATCTGTTCAAACATACTTTCTCAACCTATTGAAGCACAAAGAGTCAACAACGCCTCCACTGAGACTCGATCTCATGACTTCCCATATGGAAGAAGTCACTACATGTCATCTGAGCACAAGGTGCTTGGCTAGGTTCAGTGACTTAATTGCATTATTATGTGTAGTTCGATAGTCTATTTGATCCTTATTCTTTTTTGTTTTTGGTATTCGAGAGAATCAAAGTTTACACACCCTTAAAATTTGGAGCTATGTCACTTTTAAAAATTTCTTGTTTACATTCGAGGAATGTTGAATAATAATAAGTATTTTTTGGACAAAAATTAATTTTTCAGTCAACAAAACGACCAAAGTCGAGATCTAAAAAATTGATCGTCGAAATTTTTGACCAATATATTAATTTAGACGGAAATAGCGCTTAATAGTGTTGTAATGTTATTGTTTGTGCCCGTTGGCCTTTAGCTCCTAACCGGTGAGTTTCATGATTGAATCAACATAAAAGTAATGGATAGAGAAGAAGTGAGTGACATGATTTCATTTCAACAGCCTCCTCTTACAAATGAATTACACACATATATAATACCAAATAATAATGGCATATATAATGAGACATTAATATGTCTGTTACAAACGTTACAAAATAATGGCCACCACTAATATTTACAACAAATAGATCATTATTGGACAAAAACTTTGGGCGAACACCCTACCAAATTGATTTAATTAGAATAATTTCCGACCAATTCCTTTTGTTGGTCAGAAAAGAGAACTCAATTATTGCAATGGAGAGTTCCTTCTAACGGTTGTTCAGAAATTGTGAGCAACTATATGTTGACAGAAAAATTTGAAAATTTTCTAATTATTTTTTATTATTTTGATCTTGCTATTATTTTAATTTTACATATTGTCAATTAATTCGGTGTTATCAACAAAATAACATACACAATAATTAATTTCAAAATGAAAAATATATTTAAATTCAACTACAACTGCTCAAACCCTTGCCCCAAATGGTTGAATCCAACTGCTCAAATCCTGCTCTACAATATAATGTTGCAGCTTCCTTCCATTATGTGGTTGGCTGCGCTGTCTATAATCCAAAGAAATTCAATTTATCTTGGTGGACTAACTGGATTAGTATACTCTAAAACTTTATAAGTAAAATTACACTTTTGGTCCTCAAATTATACTAATAGACTCCGTAATATAGAATTAGTTCTTAAATTATATGCGTGCAGTGACCATATTTAATCTTTAAGTTTCGCGCAAAGTGGCGAGTTTAGCTCCTGAAGAACCAATTTCGTCACTTTATTAAGTAACATATTGGTGGCATAAATATAATAGTTTCCGAGGGACTAAAATCGTCACAATTCCTCGTGTTGCCGTGACCATCTTTAATCTTTAAGTTCCGCGCAAAGTGACGAGTTTAGCCCCTGAAGGACCAAATTCGTCACTTTATTAAGTAACATATTGGTGGCATAAATATAATAGTTTCCGAGGGACTAAAGTCGTCACAATTCCTGACAGAGCATATGGGAAGATGCAAATCATGGTAACTCCCACGTTGATAGGTTGCTCCCACACTGCCGCTGGTGAGACTCGATTCCTAGTCATTCTTTCTAAACTTTACCTCTATGACCAGTTGAGCTGCCCATGCGGGCTTGTATGCATCATACTTTGTATACCTACTGGAGGCCTAACGAAGTAGGCAAACAACTATAGCTTATATTCTTAAAAACATCCTTATCAGCTTTGTTGTTGTTGTTGTTTTTTTTTTTTTTTTTTTAAGTAGATTTTGTCATAGCCATGTAAGAGAGAGACCGTAAAGTGAAGAGGAAAAAAAATAGAAAAGGTGTCAATGCACTTGCGACTCCAACATGCGAAGCCAGGCAGATTGCTTTGTTTTCATTTCTCAATCAGTGGACCCCACAAAAGTCTTGCACTTGCGGGAGAAAAATACACCAACAAATCACATATCCCATTTGTACAAAAACTACACATTTAGTTTTTACTATTCCAAAAACCACAAAAAATAAATAAATACATTGATGTAGATGCTCTAAACATCACCCAATATTGACCGGAAGCAGTTGCATGCAATACTATATAATGTTTGGAGAAGACTAGAACTGCTTGTGTTAGGTTGTCACTTTCCTAGCAAGTTTGGGATCGGCAAGCTAACATGGCAAGATAGAGATTTTTATTTATTTATTTATTTAAAGCCAACGTGTATTGCAAGAAGAGAGAGAACTTGCTAAGCGGCAAAAGCTGCCGCATCACACCTTTTGTTTGTTTGTTTTTTTTTTTTTTAAATTTTATTATTTTTTAAATATTATTTTATTATTATATTTATTATAATAATATAATATGAAAGTGTGACCCATTTTAAAAATAATAAAGATTTGTAAGAATGTAGAATAAATAGTGAAGAATTTATAAATTTAATTATGTGAAAGTGAGATCTATTTAAAAAAATGAGAGATATTTATAAAGATAAGGATAGCATTATAAAATTTGCATGGGTACTAGTGAGTACTACCTCTTACTCACACCTAAAGATTAAACAAAATATATAATATATAATACTATATAATATAATAATAATAATAAAAAACTTGAGCAAGTGCTACTAAAATCTGTCAGTCTGAAACCATAAATATCCGTTATTAATGTAACCCAAAATTAAAATCAGAGGGGTGAGTGTAAATTACACTTGCAATTCATTAAATTGAAACAAACAAATACAACAACAGATAAATATAGACCACTAAATTTAAGTTCAATCAATGCTGAGCTAATTAGACTTGAGTTAAAGCTTGTAATAAATTAGTGAAAACAGCTTCTTACTTTTCTTGCAATACTCACCCTTTAAAAAATAATGTTGAATTTGCAAGCTTTAACTAAAATATGGTGTTGTGGAAAGTGATGATATGATGATCATTGTTCAAACACGAAGCTCTTCTATAATAGTTATGATAATTTATAGTAAAAATTGATAAGCTACGTACACAATTTCAATTCTTGCCAACATTTTATTGGTCAAGCATATTGTATACGATTTTTTTTAGTGTGATTTATCTCTCATTTGTAGTTTGTTAACTATTACACAGAAGCACTATGAATTTCTCTCGTCATCCAAAAAAAAAAATTGATAAACTATTTTTTGAAAATTTAATTTAAAATAAACTTATGGCGTACAAATAAGAGTTAATTTCAGCGGATGTTCATTGTCTTTGGTGACATTTTTAAATTTAGTCCTTTTGTCATTTAACACCTTATACTGTCATATTTTGAACAGTTTTGGTCCTTCTGGTAAAACCTTATTTTAAGAAAGAGTATTTTTCAATGAAAAAGATGATTATTATTATTTTTTTTGGGCTCTATATCTATAGTAGATATGATTCACAAAATCATGGACTAAAACAATATCAATTATTAGATTGAAGCTAATCGGGTGGCGACATCATGAGTTTTCCAACTGCGTTGCAAAATGATTCTCTTGTACCCAGAGGTCCTCACATACTTTGTATCGCCATTGACGAAGGACAATCTAGGCCGAGTTGAAGGAGATGAAGACAAGAGCCATGTGAAGGAGATTGTGCAATCCACATCTGAAGATATGATTTAAAAAAAAAAAAAATTGGCGCAGAAAACTGGAACAAAAAAAAAAAAAAGAGAAATGAAAATGTCATTGCCTAAAATAAGGTTTCACATGAGAAAGCCATTTGAAAGGGCCAAAAGTATCCAAAATATGATAGTCTAGGTTGTTAAATGACAAAATGAATTGTTTGGGACTAAAATTAAAATTGCCACCAAAGACAAAGAATCGTTGCTAGAATTAACTCATTAAAAAAATAATAATAAAAATTGAAGAGACGAAAGTATCATTATCTAAAATAACGTTTCACCGGAAAAGTCATAGGAATAACTAAATTATTATTCTTTGTTACATTATAAGTAAAATTGATGAAATTGAGATTAAGAATGCATGTAGGATAACTTGTAGCAATCGGATTGTGCAGAGTAGGAGTGTGCGTGACGTGAACAAATATTCAGTTGTGTTGCACTTTCGTGTACTGTACACTATACTCTGTAATCTGTATATCATGTGGGTTCAAAAGTAGAGTACAACGTTTTCCACTAAAATATTAATAATTTAATCCTTGTTACAGATCCCAATATCCATTTACGTTATCAAAATTCCTGTCTGTCTGTCTGCGAGGCAAGAAAAGTTTACGATATCGAGAAGGAATTCCCATTCTTTAGGATTGATACTGAAATCGCAGGCGCGGAGGATGTCCGGGATATGGAGGTGGAGCAGACTACGAGACACGGCGGTTCTAACGGTTGTTTCCGGTAGAAAAACGGCGGCCACGGCGACGAGAATGACTTCTACGTCGAACAACCACTGTTGTCAGGACCAGAAGAGGGGGTTCTTGAACTGTCTCCACCGTGTTAAGCGGCGGGAGTCGATTGTTG